AAATTGAGGCTTGAGCAACACATTGTGGAGGTCGTTCCTGACTTGTAGTATCTGAATTGGTCCACAGCTGGCCTTTAAATCTGCTGTGCCAGGGGTGTGTCTGCTGGAAGGACCCACCAGTGGCGAGCAGTTCCATCTTTCATTGAAGGACATTAGCTTGTTTTTGGTACAGGATAATCAAGGATTGATTTCATCTGAGGAAATCCAGAGATTAAATGTTTTAGGGTAATTCAGAAGAGACATAATTGGGGTCAGAACCAAACATAGTTTCCCTCCTAGAAGGAACTATTGGACAGCTCAGCGTAAACACAATGAACTTAGAGTAAACATTTAGTTTTTGAAATTACCAAACTAGGGGTGCTTGGTTAGAACGATGCACGATACTAGAAGCTAAGAAAGTATAACCTCTTATTTTCTGTGTACTGATATAAAAAGGCTTCCTAGTTCACTGGAAGGAAAAATTGGGAAATAGGATGAGATTTTCATCTGCTGTGTGTTATAAGATTTTTCAAACTGTGTTCCATTTTGAGATGGTTTGAGTTTCATTCTTTTCATTGCATAATAAATTTTTGTTGTTAAACAAACACTCTGCAGCCTTGTGTGACTTTGATTCAGTAACATTAAAGTAAGTGAGCAAAAAAAAAATCTATTAAGCCAGATTTCGTTGTGGAATCTTACTTGTCCAGTAGCATCATTAGATGTGATCATCATACTGTATAGAAAGTGTCAAGATATACTGAGTGACTGATCCAACTTAGCCTCCTCCAGAGCTCCCCAGCATCGTTGTGCCTTCAGCCTATTCAATTCACTTCACACGATATTAAGAATAAACTGAAGGTACCGAATACTGCAAAGATTATGGGCTCTAACAACATTCCAGCAATAGTACTGAAGACTTGTGCTCCAGAACTGCTGCACCTCTAGCCAAACTGTTCCAATACAGCAATAAAACTGGCATCTACCTGACAATGTGAAAATTGTCCATGTACATCTTTTACAATATAAAGCAAATCTAACCTGGTTAATTATTGTCCCATCATGGGGCAGCACAGGAGCACAGTGGTTAGCACTGTTGCCTCACAGTGCCAGGGACCCAAGTTGTGTAGAGTTTGCATGTTCTCCTCATGCCTGTGTGGGTTTTCTATGGGTGCTCTGGTTTCTTCCACAGTCCAAAGTTGGGCAGATTGGCCATGCTAAAAATTGCCCTATAGTGTCCAGGTATGTGCAGATTCTGTGAATTAGCCATGGTAAAAGCCCCATGTTGGGCTATGTGGGTAGGGTTTGTGGGTCTGGGTTTGAAGCCTGCCAAGGGTTAGTGCAGGCTCAGTGGGCTAAATGATCTTTTTCTGCACTGCAGTGATTTTATGATTCTATGTTCAGTCCTCTCTTGATCATCGATAAAGTGTCATCAAATATGAAGGGTGTCATCAACACTGTTATCAAGCTGTATTTGCAATAGCCTGATGCTCAGTTTATGTTTCACAAGGGTCACTTAGCTCCTGACCTCATTAGAGACTTGGTTCAAATATGGACAAAAGGGTTGAACTCCTGAGGGAAGTTAAGTGTGACTGTCCTCAACATCAAGGCCACATTTGACCAAGTGTGGCATCAAGGAACTCTCGCAAAACTGGAGTCAAGGGGAATCGATGGTTATCTCTCTGTCATACCTAGTACAAAGGAATATGATTGTGGTTGTTGGAGGTCAGTTATATCATTTCCAGGACATTTCTGCAGGAGGTCCTCAGGGTAGTGTCCAAGGCCCAAACACTTTCAGCTGCTTCATCCATAACATTCCCTCTATCATAAACTCAGAAGTAGGGATGTTTGCTGATTATTGCACAATGCTCAGCACTATTTGTGACTCCTCTGGTATTGAAACAGTCTATGCCCAAATGTAGCATAGAGTTATAGAGGTCTACAGCACAGAAAAAGATGCTTTGATCCATTGAGTTTGCACCTGTCAAAAACATCCACCTATTCTAATTCCATTTTCCAGCACTGTCCAATATTTGTGTGTCTTGGCATTGCAAGTGTATATATAAATTATTCCTAAGTATTATAAGGGTTTCTGCCTCTACCACCCTTATAGGCAGTGAGTTCCAGGTTCCCACCACCCTCTGCATGAAGAAAGATATTCCTTACATCACCTCTATACCTCGTGCCCCTTACCTTAAATCTAGGCCCCCAGTCATTGATTCCTCCACCAAAGGGAAAAGTTTCTTCCTGTTTACCCAAGGCTCCTCCTACTTTTGTAGATCTCAATCACTGTCTGAACTCAGTCTCCTCTGTTCCAAGTTAAGCAACCCCAGTCTATCCAGCCTCTCTTCATAAATTAAATTCTCCAGCACAGACAACATCCTGGTAAATCTCCAAAGAACCCTCTCCTATTCAATCACATCCCTCCTATACTGTGGATTCCAGCAAGATGGAGACATATCCACATTAGGGCTGACAAGTGTAATGTAATTGCCATACAAGTGCCAAGCAAGGACCTTCTCCCACAAGAGAGAATCTAATCATCACCCCTTGACATTCAATGGCATTACTATTACTGAATCCCCAACTATAAACACCAGGGGGTTTCCACTGACCAGAACCCGAAGTGGACTAATCATGTAAATACACTGACTGCAAAAGTGGGTCAAAGGGTAGGAATTGTACAGCAAGGAACTGACACCCCAAAGTCTGCCCACCATCTACAAAGCTCGAGTCAGGAATGAAATGTAATGCTCCCCACTTGCCACAATTCAGGACAAAGTAGCCCACTTGATTGGCACAATAAACACCCACTCCCTCCACCACCAACACTTAGTACCAGCAGTGTATACCATCTACAAGATGCACTGCAGAAATTCACCAAGGCTCCTTAGAAAGCACTTTCCAAATCCCAAACACTTCCATCTAGAAGGACAAGGGTAGCAGAGACATGGGAACACCACCACCTGCAAATTTCCATCCAAGCAATTCATCATGCTAACTTGAAAATATATTTCACTCCTTCAGTGTTTTCAGTTGAGAAAAGTTTCCACAGTTGCAGATGACACAAAAATAGATGGAAAGGCAATTGGTGAGGATGACAAAGAGTCTGCAAAGAGATAAAGACAGGTTAAGTGAGTGGGCAAAAACTTGGTGGATGGAATATGATGTGGGAAAATGTGAGTTTATGCTCTTTGGCAGGAAGAATAGAGGCTCTGAATATTACTTAAATAGAGTCATAGAGATATACAGACCCATCGGACCAACTCATCCATGCCACCAGATAGCCTATATAAATCTAGTCCCATTTGCCAGCATTTGGCCCATATCCCTCTAAACCCTTCCTATTGACATAACCACCCAGATATTTTTTAAATGTCATAATCGTACCAGCCTCCAGTACTTCCTCTAGCAGCTCATACCCTATACGCACCACCCTCTGTTTGAAATAGTTGTCCCTTAGGTCCGTTTTAAATCTTTCCCCTCTCACCTTAAACCTATGCCCTCTAGTTTTGGACTCCCCCACCCTGAAGAAAAGACCTTGCCTATTTACCTTATCCATGCCCCTCGCAATTTTATAACCGTCTATAAAGTCACCCATCAGCGTCTGATGCTCCAGGGAAAATAGCCCCAGCCTATTTAGCCGCTTCCCATAGCTCAAACCCTTCAACCCTGGCAACATCCTCATAAATCTTTTCTAAACCCTTTCTAGTTTCACAACATCCTTCCTGTAGGAGGGAGACCAGAATACCATGCAATACTCCAAAGTGGCCGAACCAATGTCCGCAACATGATCTCCAAACTCTTATACTCAATGCACTAACCAATAAAGGCAAGCATACCAAATGCCGTCCTCATTATCTCATCTACCTGCAACTCCACTTTCAGGGAACTATGAACCTGTATTTCAATGTCCCTTCGTCCAGCAACACTCCCCAGGACCTTACCATTAAGTGTATAAGTCCTGCCCTGTTTTCCTCTTCCAAAATGCAGCACCTCACATTTATCTAAATTAAACTCCATCTGCCACTCCTCGGCCCATTGGCCCATCAGATCAAGATCCCATTGTACTTGAGATAACCTTCTTTGCTGTCCACTACACCTTCAATTTTGGTGGCATCTGCAAACTTATTAACCACACCTCCAATGTTCACATCCAAATCATTTATATAAATGATGAAAAGCAATGGACCAAGCACCTGATAGCATATCGCTGGTCTCAGGTCTCCAGTATGAAAAACAACCCACCAACACCATCCTTTGTCTTCTACCTTTAAGCCAGTGCTGTATCCAAATAGCTAGTTCTCCCTATATTCCATGTGATCTAACCTTGCTAGCCAGTCTACCATGAGGAACCTTGTTGAATGCTTTACTGAAGTCCATATAGATAACATCTACTGCTCTGCCCTCATTAATCCTCTTTGTTACTTCTTCAAAAGAAATGGGGAAAGACTGCAGAAAACTACAGAGCAGAGGCATTTGGGAATTCTCATCCATTAATCACAAAAAGCTAACATCCAAGTTCAGAGGGTAATTAATAGGGAAGGCAAATTGAATGTTGGCCTCTATGCCAAAGGGAATGGAATATAAAAGTGCAGCTAAAACTGCACGAGGCAGTAGCAATGCCCACACTTCTTGAATGAGTAAAACTTTATACTTGGCTAAGGAAAGCAGCTCAACCTCCGCTGAAACCACATGCTCCCGACATTACTAAACCAGCCGCTGGCTGGGGGCAGGGTTCAAACCTGAAAGAGACGGATGCCACACTGGAGAAAGTTCCAATAAGAAGCATGAACGGTGAGGGGGTGGGGCCTCGTGGGAAAAGACCATTGGACAGCCCAGATAAGGGAGGGGCGGGACACGTTGTTGGTAGCAATTACCAATGAGGAGCTGGGAAAGGGCAGGGGCGGAGCTGGGTGTCGGAGCAGTGACCAATGGGAAGCGTGGACCGTTAGGGGCTGGAGCCGGGTGTTGCGGCAGTGGCCAATGGGAAGGGGGAGGGGATGGGTTTCCAAGGGGGAACTTGAGCGCAGTGTGGGTAGACGTTAGTCATGTTGCCGGGGTAGTCGCCATGTTGATTACTCTGTGCTATGTTTACCTGTGGATTCGCCTGCAGAAATGCTATGCCATGATCATTTTTCGGTCCGTGCGGCGCTTCCACCGCATGTCTAGCCTTACCTTCACTGCGTTGCCGCCGGACAGCGAGGCCCGGCCTTACAGCTCTTCTGCAACTGTCCAGGAAAACATCTGTGTTCGTCTGGCCGATAGGGCTTTCCTCCTGGCTGAGCCCCAAAAGGTGATCCGCGCGCAAATTCTTAATCCAAGATTGTCACACTTTATTTTTAACTTAATCATCATTAACACGAATTGGACCTTCTGCTTAGTTGTTGAGTCTGCCTCACGATTCTTGTAGCTTGTAATCTGATGGATGTTTTATACTATGCTCTTTTGAACTGTTATAAACTTTTTTAGTACAGTAATAAATTACATCATTATTCCTTTAATCAAGAGTATTGTACAAGAAACTAATTGCATGACATTATGAAAAATATTACCCTATTTCCGGACTCTGCTGCATATTGCTATCGTTATGCTAAGTAATGACAGTATGATGCACAAGTGTCAAATTTGACCAAAGACGTAGACATGTGCTTTATGTGCACCTTCATTCTTGCTAACTCTTCATAAATTGTTTGGATTTGTGTAAATGTGCTATATCCGTGGGGTGCAGAATCAGTGCTCTTTATCTTGGGCAAACAGAAACTGTACTTGGCTTTCTTATCAAATTGGTTTGGAGCGTACTGAGTTGCCCGCTGGGTTTCAATGTAAGATATCCAAATTAACCAAGTATTATTGCAAGGATGTTTGATTTTGGAATGACTGGATTCCTGATTAATTTCGAATGAAGTTTAAATGGTTTAAATTTCGAAAGACATTGAATCTATGATAAATGTGTTCCAGTAATGTCACGTTTGCCGCCTAAAACATGCTTTTGTTTAGCGTGATGTAACCCCATATTCAAGTAAGGTCGGGAAGGAAACTACAGGCCATCTAGCTTAACATCTGAAATAGTGAAATTACTAGAATCTGTAATTAAGAGTGTTATGGTCGGATACTTAGAAAATCAGAATTTGATCAATCTGTCATCATGGTTTTTGAGAAAGTAAATTCTGTTTAACTAAGTTAATAGACTTTTTTTGAGAGAATAGCAAACAAGGTAGATAAAGGGAAACCTGTGGGTGTGATATGCTCGGATTTCCAAAAGGTGCCACATCAAAAGGTTCTCTACAAAATAAAAGCTCATGATGTAAGAGATAACATACAAGTATAGATTAAGGATTGCGTAAGTACTATGAAGCAGTGAGCAGGGATAAATTTTGATTTGGCAAGCTATATGTGCCACATGGATCAGTTTTAATATCCCAGCCATTTACAATTGATTTTAATGATTTGGATGTGGGAATCAAAAGTATTCTAGTTAATTTGGCTGATGACTGTAAGATAGGTAAGAAATTAAGCTGTTGAATAGGTAGATAATCTGAAAACGTCAAGATAGGCTAAGTAAGTGGGCAAACCTTTTTAAATATATTATGGTATAGTGTAGTGGAATATTGTATGAGAAAATATGAATGTGCATACTTTGACAGAAAGAATAGAAAAGTTACATACTATTTAATGGAAAGAGACTGTAGAGCTCTGAGATGCAGTGGCATCTGGATGTTCTGGTACATGAATCATAAAAAAGTTGGTTTGTAGGTTTCCCATGATTGTGATGGTAAATGGAATGCTGGCATTTATTGCAATGGGTCTGGAATATAAGAGTAGGCAAGTTTTAATGTGCATGGTCTTGGTGAATTTTGTCTCCTTATTTCTAAAGGAGTCAAGAAGTCAAAGCTTTTTGTCTTGCAATTACCAGGTGCAATTATTAGGGTGCAAGAAACAGGCTTGAAAAAGGGTCACCAATTTATACAGCGTGAAAATAGGATGCTGATTTGTTAGGCTGATGTCAGTGTGGAGATGCAGCTGTTAACTGACAGTTTTAGTTCTTAGACCAGATGGGTAGACTTGGATCAGTGTGGTTCCATGGGAATGCAGCAGAGATTGATAGTCTCCATGAGCCTTTTTTCCAATAACTAATCCACACTATGGAAAAATTGTCTTTTAATTATGATTTAAGGTTACCAGTTGGATGTGCACGCTGATGCAGTAGTACATACTGGAAGCTATATTAAAATACACAGGACTCAGTTTAGGTAGGCAAATGGAGTAAAGTCAGTGGTCATATTGGGAAGAAGGGAAAGTGAAGTGGAGTTGAGACTACAATCATATCAATTATAATCTTACTAAAGGGTGAAATAAGAATATAACAGCATAAGAAGTAGGAGCAGGAGTAAACAATTCAGCCCTCAAGCCTGCCCTGCCATTCAACAAGATCATGATTGATCTGCCCAAGGTTGCAATTCCTCTTTCATGTCAGCTCATCATTGCCATCAAAGCTCTGATATTTCAAAAATCTGCCTACCTCCTCTTTAAGGAATGTCAGTGCTGTAGTCTCTGCAACTCTCTGGGATAGATAATTCCAGACATTGACTATCCTCTAGTAGAAGAAATTTTCTTGCATCTCAATTTTAAAGGAGTGTTCCCTTACTCTGTCTGCTAGTTTAAGATTTCCCTATTAGTGGAAACACCTTCTCAACATCTATCCTGTCAAGCCCCCCTCAGAAATTTGTATGTTTCAATAAGGTCATCCTCAATCTTTTAACCTAAAGGCCTAACCTGTTTAGCAATTCTTGAAACGTCATTCCCTTTATCTGAAGAATCAGCCTAGTGAATCTATTTTGAACAGCCTCCAATATCATTACATTTTTTATTTAAATTCAGTGACTAAACTGTACACAGCAGTGTAGATACAACCTCAGCCATACCCTGTGCAGTTGTAACAAGACTTCTGTTTTTTAAATTACAAAATCCTAGCAATAAATGCTGTAATTCCATATGCCATCTGAACAATTTGTTGCACCTGCATGCTAACTTGCTGTGTTTTAGGCACAAGGACACCCAGGTCCCTTTGTACTTCATCTTTTGGAGTCTCTCTCCGTTTAAACAATAGCCTGCCTTTTGATTCTTCCTTCCAAAGTGCATGAGCTCTCACTTTCCTACATTAAACTCCATCTGCCAAATTTTTGCCTACTCATTCAACCTATCTGTACCCCCTTGCAATTGCATTATGTCCTCATTACAACATGCCCTCACAGTTTTATATTGTCAGCAAATTTGGATACATTTTTGTCTGTCTGTACCTCCAGGTCATTAACATAGATAGTAAATTATTGAGATCCTAGGACTGATCCTTGTGGCATTCTATTAGTTACGTCTTTCTAACCTGATAAAAGACCCATTAGTCTCCATCCTCTGGTTTACCAACCTGCTGGATCTTTTCAGGAATCAGGTGAGCCTGTATTATTTCGACCAGTGCCTGCACTATCTCTGCAGCATTTCCTTTAATACCCTCGGATGCAGGCCATCATGTCTGCCTTTAGTTCCATTCGTTTATCAAATATTTTATCCTTCGTGATAGAAACTGTTATATTTTCATAAGTACACAAGCCTATTTTCTCTGTGATTCTTTATCTTTAAAGAGCTGTCTACTGTAAGCCCACAAGACCAACTTTTCAGATAAAAATGCATAAAGAATTTCAGATGTTGATAATCTGAGTTGGGTTGCAAGAGAAGTGGATGCTTTGTTACCATAAATAAATATGGCTCAACAGTGAATTTGGGAGGTTGATTGAATTTCAACAGATGTTCACTGCGTTTCCCTAGAGATTGGGAAATAAGAACAGAAGACGTTGTAAATATTCATCAGATTAGTCGGCATTTATGGAGAGAAGTGGAGGTAATGTTTCATGCTGATGACCTTTCACCAGTTTGTTTTTTGCATTTATTTTTGACTATGTATCCAATTCCTATTTGGAAATGAATTTTTTCCCCAAAAATATACTTAAAGATATTTTCTATGAATAAAATATGTATATCCGTAATGTATATACATAAAGATATTATGTATACACATAAAGATATTTCTATGAATATAGTCACAAACACATCTTTTACACATACCGGACTGTATTTACATGCATTTGAAGTGCCAGGAGGGTCCAATAACTGAACGGACCCCAATTAACTTGGCAGAAAGACCTTAAACAGTCGTCTTTCCCCACTGCGCCTTGGCAGCAGCTGCCCCAAACTTTAGTGTGTCCCCCAGTACATAGTTCTGGACCTTGGACTATGCCAGTCTGCAACACTCGTTCAGTATCAACTCCTTGTTCTGGAAGACCAACAAGTTTCGGACAGACCATAGAATGTCTTTCACTGAGTTGATGGTCCTCCAGGTGCAGCCAATGTTTGCCTTGGTGTGCGTCCCGGGGAACAGACAATAGAGCACAGGGTCCTGCTTCACGGAGCTGCTTGGGATGAACCTCGACAAAAACAACTGCATCTTTCTCCAGACTTTCTTTGCAAAAGCACATTCCAGAAGGAGATGTGTGACAGTCCCAAACCCCAACCATAGCTGCTTCAAGGGCAGTATGCATTGGTGCAGACAGACTGGGCGCACATAAATGATCTCACAGGTAGTGCCCTTTTCACCACCAGCCAAGCAATGTCTTGACACTTGTCGAAAGTTCTGGTGATGAGGCATTCCGCCAAATGACTTTGACAGTCTGCTCAGGGAACCATGCAACAAGATCCACCCTCTTCTTTTCTTGCAGGGTTTCAACGACGCTATGTGCTGACGACTTTCGGATAGACTTGTGGTTGAAGGTGTTTTTTTTTTTTTGCAAATTTATCCATGAAGGACAGATGATACGGAACGGACCACCTGCTTGAAGTGTTCCGTGGCAATGAGGCCAGTCTCATCCTTTGCAACATCAGGGACAGGTGGAACCTGTACGTAGTGACACTTGGTGTTTGCATGCAGAGAGCCTATGCACAGCTTGATGCCATCGCACACAAAGGTGACCATTAGGATGAGGGCGGCGTTGGGTACATTTTCATCCCCTTGTTCAGAATTTTGTATATGGAGTCACTGCTGACATGGTCCATCTTAGACATCCAGATGAATTGGTAGATGGCTTGGGTGACTGCAACGGTGCAGTTTCGGGGAATGGACTGGACTTGCGCCAGGTACAACAGAGAGAGTGCCTCACGCCTGATGACCAGGTTTTTACCTGCAATGGAGAGGGAATGATGCTGTAAAAAGACCAGTTTCTGCTTCACCTTGTCAATGTGCTCCTCCCAAGATTATGCACATGCCTTGGCCCCTCCGAACCATATTCCCTGCACCTTCAGCTAATCTGTCCTGATGGTGAAGGTAATAAAGGATCGGTTGGCCCAGTTTCCAAAGAACGTGGCCTCGCTTTTGCCTTGATTTACCTTGGCTGCCGAAGCCAGTTCCAACTGGTTGAAGACACTCATGAGTCTGTGCATTGACAGCTGATCCGAGCAGAAGATGGCAACATCGTCTATGTATAGGGAGGCTTTGACCTGCTGGCCTCCGCTATCTAGAATAATCACCCCTATCAGGCTTACTACCTTCCTGATGGACTCAGCAAAAGGCTCTATACAACACACAAACAAGACAGGTGCGAGTGGGCAACCCTGCCTGACTCCAGATCTGATTTGGAAGCTTTCTGATTCCCACCCTTGAGACTGCATTCATGATGTTGGTGTAGAGCAGGAGGATCTAGTAGCGAATTCCCTCCCCAAAGCCAGTTTTGGAGAGCACATCCCACATGTACGATATCCTGTCGAAGGCCTTTTCCTGGTTCAGGCTGATGAAACAGGCTTTCACCCCCCCCTTGTCCTGCATGTAGACGATCATATTCTTGAGGAGCGTGAGGCTCTCAAGAGATTGTCCTGCCCAATACAGCATAGGTTTGGATGGCTGAATCATCGATCCCAGAACAGACCTGACCTGGTTGGCGATGATCTTAGGATTTTGTAGTCTGCATTCAATAAAGTAGACAAAGCTGAAAATTCCCAGCATGTAAGGTAGCATTTGCAGAGTGTTTTTCAAGTAAATAACTTTCTCATAATTCCACTTTTAAATGATACCTGAAATTTGCTTTGAAACATCTCATTTTCTAATTGTTGAAAACTAATTCTTATAAAGTTCCACTCAGTATTCAGTTGATGTTCTGTGTTAGTAAGGGACTTATGGCTTAGTAGTAGTCTCCCTACCTCTGGGCTAGAAGTCCCATCTGGAGTCGTGCCATAACATATAAGAATTGGATGATGAAAATAACTGATCCTGTGTTACTGAATTGACAACCAATAGAAGTAGTCTTGTTTTCTGCCTTGGGAAGTTACATGACCTTAAAATGAAACCTAATGACAAAAATGGGCTTCAAGGTTTCATAAATACAATCTTGGTATTTTAGTGAATTTTGACGAGTCTTTATTGCTGTAGTAATTAATGGAACAATCGGACCCATATGCAATACCACAACTGTGGCTGAGCCAGTATTTCATAATAATTTAAATGACTTCCTTATTTTTGTATGCAAAGAAATATAGCATAAAACCTAGGATTGTCTTTACTTCTTGATGGCCTTTTCTGCAAGTAACAAAATCACTTTTAGCTACTTGTAATTTCTTAGGGAGAGGAAAAGAGAATAAAGTTACACAATAATGTGCTATACATTTGAGTTCAATGTGAGACAAGGAATAAATACATAACAGCATTAATTGAATTTTGTAACATAATGAAGTTAGTGAACTAAAAAATCAAATTTTAATTTTTCAAATGTACCAGGATTGAAACAATGTAGCAGCCTAGCGTGTTTGTGACAGACCTGATCGCAAAGGCAAAACAACCCTTCCTTAGTGTTGTTATGAAGCGCTCTGTAGAAGACGCAACAATCTTTGCCTAGCTGTGAAGAATCGTCACTGACCAATCTACACAATCCATCAAATGGTGGACCAATTTTCAAAGGATAACCCAGGGAAATTGGTTGAAAAGGCTGTGTTTTATAATGGACAAATGGGGCAGCAATGTGAATGCCATCGAGCTCCTCATTGTTTGAAGAACTTGCAGTTTTGGAGAACGTCCAGGAAATCGTAAAAGGTAAAATTAAATTTAAAATGCTTAGAATTTCCTAATTGAAAAATGATGCTTTATACATATTATAATGCATATTACTTGGTTAACAGAGTCCAATCTACTTTTGCACTGGAAAGAGGTAATTGCATGCCTGAAGCTTGACTACTGATGTGCTGCAACCTGGTTTGGGGAGAGGTGTGGAGTCAAGGCACTCATCAAGATGGTTATGACTGATGAAAGTATTTTTTTTTGCCACTTCTTGTGCTTCCATTCTAAGTGGAAATGCAAACATTGTTGAATATGATGTCATTTGTTTTACAGGTGAACAGCTGACAAACCACCAATGCATTATGCATCGAGAATCTCCAGTGGGCTTAAGAGCCAACCTGAAGCCGGTAGTGAATGTGGTCAACATAGTGGTCAATTTATGGAAACACTGGCTCTGAGCAACAACCAGTTTCAGAGTCTGCTGGAGGAATTCAATGCAAAATATACGGATTTACACCAAAATGATGTATGCTGGCTCATAATGGTTTGCAACGCATTCACTTTGAGTTGCATCACAAAATTATACCTCTTACTGGAGCAAGGAATAATCAGTATCAGGGCTCTGCAGTGGGATCTGGTGGATTTCTCTTTGTTTTTCCCTAGACTTTGGAACGCTGGAAGATTTTCTTCAAGAAACTGAGGTTAATACGTCATGAAAAGAGCTTACTGAGTTGTGCTCATGCTTTTGAGACAAACTTTGACTGTTTGACTGTAACTTGGTCTTGTAGTGAGTTGTTACAATTTCCCTTCTACTGTAATTGAAAAGAAACTGGAGTGGCCTGTCAATTAGACAGTTCTTCAACAGTAAGAATTGTTTTCCAGTTCCTTCCAAGAATCAATGACATCACCATTTGAGAATACAACTTTTGACTGGAGATGCAAATGAAATTGACCAAATTCTGACACAATAAAGAGAAGGTTTAATATGGGTGCATTAGCATTCTGTAAATACTCTTAGGAGTGATTTGGAGATTGCAAGATCTTGCCTTTATTAATTAGCAGCACATACTTTACAGAAAAAAATCACAAATCAATCTGTAGCACTTCCACTGATGTTTGAGAACCCTCAGTATCTTCAGGGCAATCTTCAGTTGTTGGCAACGAAGTTGTCATGGTAAATGCAGTTTCCAGTGATGCAGAACTGAATTAATAAACAGACAGTACACAACAAATGTTCAACAAAAAGTTGTTTTATACATAATAAAGTCCATCTGCTCCTATAATGTGCAAAATGGTATGAATGTTTCAAATATGTGTAATACATATCAAAAAATAAATCAATTGCATTGGATTTGGTGCTTAATTATAATTTTGATTTGATTTGATTTATTATTGTCACATGTACTGAGTTACAGTGAAAAGTATTGTTTTGTGTGCTATCCAGACAAATCATACCTTACATAAGTACATCAGGGTAATAGAACAGAATATGATGTTACAGCTACAGAGAAGGTGCAGAGAAAGATCAACTCCAATAAATGAGAGGTCCATTCATAAGACTGTTAGCAATGGAGAAGAAGTTGTTCTTGAATCTGTTAGTATGTGTTTTAAAGCGTTTGTATCTTCTGCCCAATGGAAGAGATTATAACATTGATGGGAGGGGTCATTGATTAAGTTAGCTGGTCCAGTTACAGATTAAAGCATGTGTACACATGCCTTGCTCCAGAAGATTGGACAGAAGTAAATAGATTTTTTGATAGGCTTGGGAATAGGCCATGATCTTGTTTAACAGAGGAGCAGGCTTGAGGAACTGAATTGTTTGTTTTTGTTCCTATTTTGTAAGTTCATGCATGCCCTTGTTTATCCAAGGTAAGCGCTAGCTGTATTTCCACATGTCAACAGACAATATCTGGAATAGGTATCTTCTCAGGTTCACTGACATTCACTGATATAAATCAAGCTGATTTATTTCATGATAAGGTAATTGTACACAATACCAATTGAAACAATTCAACTTATTGTTGCATAATCAATCACAATAAATAAAATGTAATACTTCCCCACATAAGTAGGGCATATTGGCTTATCAAGATGTTTCACTAAAGCAATGATGCTCACAGTTTCCTTTTTAAAAAATTGACTGATAGCCACTATGCTGCTTCAGAAAGCCTCTCTGACAGTTTTGTGTTCCTATCTTGGCATGTATCAGTGAGAAAAAAATGTAGCACTAAATATAAAAGAGTGATCTCTTTCATGTAAAATTTGCCATAAAATTTTTTGAATGGTAAAACACACTTGCAATGTAATTAGCATTTTGGTAATGTTACGAAATGCTTTTTGTAGATATTCAAAAATCTAATTCAAAAGCTAATTCAAAAATCTGAAATTTAATTTTGGAGTTTCTGGAATATTCAGTGTTGCTTTGAGAGTGGAATGTATTGAAGACTACAATAACTGCTGAAGATCACTCTTGTTTAGACAACTACCATAGCCATTTGAAAGGCATACAGAATTGGGTGGGGAACACTTGTTTTTGTTTGCCAAAACTATTTGGGTGGGCCAGGTAAGTTAGTTGGAATTTGAACAGTTTGTTTCATGGAACTTGTGAGTAATACACTGGACATTACAATGAGGTTGCATTTCATGTTGGTACTACTTGATATTAAAATTGATTAATATGATAACTGGCTCAATGGCAAAGAACTGTAAATACTTTTCAGGGAAGCTGTACTACACTTCACAAGAAGTGAGGAGTATATCTGAGCAGTTATGCAATGTTCATCAGTTCAACTGTATTTTGATTTTATGATGACAGGAGATAACTTTGTAAGCAGAAACTTATATACACGTTTAAAAGATTTTAAAAGGACGGTTTCAATATTCAGAAAAGGCAAGCTAAAATTCTAATTAGTGTCCATATTTGCTACATTACAACAGTGGCTACATTTCAAAAATACTTTGGGTTTTAAGTGATTTGGGATGTTCTGTGGTTGCGAAAGACTAGGTAAACGAACAAAAACTCTGCAGAAGTCTTTTGTATAATCCTTTAAATAAGTCTAATTTCTTTTTTAATATGAACAAAACAGTTTGATAATGTAACTTTTTTTTGCATCCTATGGGCTGAGCAGCAACATTTGAAGAATCTGTTTCTCCAGGAGTGTCTTAGCTCATTTAATTCCTGTGCACCCTGATAACTGGATTGTTGGAATTTCCCTGTGGAAATTATTTCTTCTGAGAGTGTAAGACAAAACCAAAGGTTGTAACTCTCAAAGACCCTGTGATTTTTTTCTCTAAATTATGAGCTGAACTTTCCTTCCTGGGGCTTGAACCCCTGCATGGAGTGGTCCAGACAACTCTGCTATTTTTAAAGAAGTGACCAATCTGAAAATATTTTACACATTCACATTTTGGGAACTGGTTTGACAGTCTTGAGATAGTTTGAAACTAATTGAACTTCACACTAATGCAATATAATTGGAAGCGATGCAAAACCATATTGGAAACATTACATTTTATTTAATCTTATTTTCCTGAAGGCATTGTCTCTCAATTTGAGGTACAGTTCTATAAGCTCTGTTTCATTTATCCAAGTAACCATTATCATGTGTTAATGCTGCAGGCTTCCCCACTCTGGCCAAACCCACATCATAAGACGTGGGCATCGCTGGCTAGGCCAGCATATGTTTCCCATTCTTAGCTGCCCTTAAGAAGATAGAGATGAGCTGCCTTCTTGAACTGTTACAGTCCATTTGGTGTTGGTAGACTCACAATGCCATTAAGGAGTGAGTTCCAGAATTTTCATCCAGTGACACTGAAATAAGGGCAATATATTTTCAAGTGTGAATGACTTGGATAGGAACTTGTTAGTGGTTTTGTTCCTGTGTTTCTGCTGCCCTTGCCCTTCTAGATGGTAGCGGTCGTGGGTTTGGAATTTCCCCCTGTTTCCAATAGGAGTGGAAATCGTGGATGAGCTTTTTCTTTGACTAACCCACTGCTGTTCTGACCGCTTTGTCCAGTCCTTACCTGACTATGCTGAGATCAGCTAAATCAGTATAAACCATATTAAATATTGAAATTTTATTTTAGTATATTGGTAAATGGGATTATTAGTTTGGTCAACATAGGCATGGTGGGCTGGAGGGCCTGTTTCTGTGCTGTATGACTGTATAGTTTAGATACAGCATCTTTGCTTCTGAGAGCTTGTAATGCTATTCTTAAAAGGATCAGAAGAGGTCATAAGAAATAGGAGAAGGCCATTTGAGCCTGCTTTGTTATAGCTATCCTGATTGTGATTTTAATTCCACTTTCCTGTTGCTTGCCCACCATAACCCTTTACTGTCTTTGGATCAAAAATCTATCTTTAACTGTGTTGAATATATTCAGTGATCCAACCTACGCTGCTGTCTGGGGAAGGGAATTCCAAACAATATTCCTTCTGCCCCTTGGAGGGTCTGCAAATGCGTCTGGCATGCAGACAAATTGATCTGATTCTGGTTCCAGAAGACTACAGAGGTCCATGCAACAGAAAGAAAATATTGAGAGAAAATAGATAACAAAGTCTAATAACCATCCTAGAGGAAAATAATTCTCACCTCTGTTTTAAATTTCTTTTTTAAAATCGTGCCTCTGAGTTCTAAACTCCTGCGCGAGAGGAATACAAAGGGAAGTGCTCTGAGCATCCACTCTGTTCCTTCATTTCAGGTCATCTTTCATTCCTGTCATTTTTCTCTAAGTTCTAATGAGTATAGGTCTAACCTGCACAAACTGTTTTCATAAGCTAACCCTTTCATCTGAGAAATCAGCCATGTGATCTTCTCTGAATGCACTAATATCCCTTGGGTAATGAGGCCACAATTGTACACCACGTATTCCCTTCCTAATAGCATTGTGTGTCAACGCACAGGAGGTGGACTGCAATAGTTCAAGAAGGCAGCTCACCACCACCTTCTCGAGGGCAGCTAGGGGCGAGCAATAAATGTTGGCCAGCCAGCAATGCCCACATTCCACAAATGAATTAAAAAAAAAATGATTTTACTAAGGCTTTGTACAGCTGATGAATCATATCCCTGCTTTTATACCAATACACACACACACAGCCCATCTTGCAGTAAAGGCCAGCATTTTGTTTGCCTAGTGAATCATTTGTTGTATCTACATGCTAGCTTTTTTGGATTGTGTACTACACAAATTGATGCAATCTCTCACCATTTAAATAATAACCTGCCTTTTTTTGTATTTTTCATGGCAAAGTGGACAGCCTCACGTTTTCCTGCTTTACCCTCCATCTACCAAATCTGTGCCCCTTCACTGAACCAATCTACGACCCCATGAAATGATTTCTAGTTCAATATGTTTCAGGAGTAATAGTTTATGCTGCATGGGTGTTATGAAAATTTGAGATTATATTCATACTTTTATACCAATGAAATTATCAAAGTAATAAATTTGTTAAAAAATGTTTATTTAAAATAAGTCATTATGATTTAATTCAACTCTCTTGCCAGAGCTAGTGCTTGTTAGTGGATCATTGACCTGTGCTATGGTCCAACTCTGGGAGAAGGCACCAATTAAAAGCAACAACTTGCACATTAGATAATAGATAATCAATATGAAAGCAGAAGCCAAGATGGGCAGTTCGGAGAGTCGAACAGATTATTAGTGTTTAACCAGGGGAGGGGAGTTGGGGTTCCCTTAACGATGGAGATATGGAAAACTTTAGGGATTTTTTTTTTCAGAGTATAGACAAATGAATCATGGATGCCAGAGGTAAGAAACTGAAGGCAGATATAAATGAAGTCAAAGTCAAGTGAAAAGTTTGTTTGAGGAAGGCTTTTCGTTTCTGTGGCGATAAGTTGGAAGAGCAAAAGCCATGGGTTTGAAATATGGACAAGCATTTTAAATTCAAAACATTAACTTGCCGGCAGTAAATTAGGCTGGCAAAAATGGGAAATCTGAATAGAGATTAGTGGATAGCACATGAGCAGCAAGGTCATGGGTGGAAGTATGGGATAAAATGGCTGGAAGATGAAACGCTAATGACAGGATTATGCAGTACAGTCTTGAAGTTTTCAATGTATGGGAGATTTTGGAGTCAATAGGTTAAAATGGGTAATTTTATGTTGTTAAGAAAGTGAGCTTGGAAACTCCAATCAGGAATGAATAGGATGTTAAGATTGTGAATTGTCTGTAGCCTGATAGAATGCCTGGAATCTGGTGGAATAGCTGGATCAGTGGCTTCTGTGATCTCAGTGTCCAGGTGGTGGAGGTTCTCGAACAAGTAGACAAAAAAGTAAAAAGAAATAGTGGTGAGGAACAATTAAGTACCATTAGTATATGCCTGTTAATAATGTTGCCAAAGTATAGTACACAAATGAAGAAAGGGCCAATGCTGTAATTAAATTTAAAATAATTAATCCAAGTGAAAAAAAAAGTTAACCAGACTTTGGAGCTAGTTATTAGTGACCATGTCAAAGGCTACAGATTGATGTCATTTGTGACTTTGGTAAGGGCTATCTTAATGCTGTGGAGCATGTGGAAACTATTTTAAAAAATGGAGGAAGGCTTCAAGTTCCATTTCAGTGTGTTTTATAAGCTGACCATTTGGCTGGACTGGAACAGTTCAAGAAATGGGCTTGCTACAACCTTCTCGAAAAACAATTATTGCTAGTCTTGCCAGTGACACTTGCTTCACATGAAAGAATTAAAAAATAACTTCAATTATAAAGTCATAGAATTGTACAGCACGGAAATAGAACCTTTGGCCCAACTTGTCCATGCTGACCAGATATCCTAAACTGCTTCAG